AAATAAATTTATTTCAAATTTTAAATTGTTTTTTTTAAACTATAAATTTTAAATTATCGAAATTCTAAATTGAAAATATAAATAATTTTATGTTGATAAAAAATATATACTAACCGCAAGGTTGCTCCGCCGGTGCCCGATGCCTCTCCTAGGCCTCCTCCTCCTCTCAGGATGTTAGGTCGTCAGGTTTCCTCGCAGCACAGGACACTCGCGAAAAACACTCGCAAATTATTATAATCGCGCGCGGACTAATTTTTGCTTGTGAAAATATCAAGTTTCGTTGGTCCAATGAGCACTCGAGTCGGAAGCTTTTCGAGACACACGGTAATTCCTCAAGCAAGAGCTAAAACCGAAGCGGAAGAAGATGAATTGACTAAGGTGAATTCGTCTCTTGTTTTTTAGAAATCACTCTAAAATTGACTCCACCATCACATAGTCAATAGTTTAAGTCGAATCACCAAGGAGACACGATAGTGTCTCGAGTGACAAATCAACCGAGAATACTGCCGTGTGAATACTTTATGCGAGTCGGCGAGATGCGAGCATCCGAAATTATTGGATCTCAATAACGGTTAAATCAATCAAGTCCTAAGTAAGCTTAATCGATAACTTGAGTTCGACTTGCATAATGAAAATATTTTTATTTTTACGTGCTACGTGCTCTACGAGCGGAGATATTGCTACACAAAGTCAGATTCGTAAACTTTTACTTTAAGTAACGTCGTCATTATTATTTATATAAAAGATTAGATATTAATAATTGGCGGCAACTTATAGTCGTATAAACATTAAGCTACAAGTCCACATTAGTCAAATTATATATTTCACTTATATAAAAGATTTGACACCCTACTATTTTTAAAAAATAAAATTCAAGCGGTAGTACCTTTAATTTAAAAATAATAAAAACCAAATGATATGTATATTTTTTAAGACCATTGAAGACTCTTTTTGCGAAATGGTATTAATGATAAAATACTTTTTTACAATAGCATTATCTAATCAAAAATTATAATCAAGATTTACCTTGGAATCCTGATTAATCAATTTTATTCTCACACATATAAATTATTTTTTTATCTATAATAAGTATATGTGAGTCACGTTCTTGATAAAATCTATTAACGATAAGAATATTGAATCTTTGATATAAAATTTAATATCAATTTCTTTACATTGTAATTCGTAAAATTTATCAATTTGTGATTATATAAGATGACTGATTATATAAGATTTTTTCGTTGTTTATGGTTCAAACTTAATAGACAATAGTGATTCTTTGACTTAAGAATTCTTATATTTTTTTTTACTTAGGAGAAAAGTATAATTCTTTAAGAACATAGTTACAGATTTCTGAATGCAAGCTGAAGAGATTTTGAGAATTAAGATAGTTGACAGATAGAAAATTATAATAAATTTTGTAATAAATAAATATAAATAAATATTTTGTAATTAATAAATTTTTCGCAAAATTTAAGAATTAATCTAATAATAAAGTGATAAAAGAAAAAAAATATCATCAATACATAAATACATACATATATTTGTACATATTATATGTAATTTGTAATATTAATAACATATTAATTAAATAATATATTAATTAGATATATTAATTAATATTTTAATTATTTATTTGTATTTTGTGTGTGTATTACATTTTATATAATTACTAATATTATAATATGTTATATTATAACAATGTATTGTTATAATATAATGTGTAGTTACATATTACATTAATTATGAATATGTCTATAAATATTTTATGTTATGTACAGTTACACATTTATGAAATTTATTTTTTATTTTCTATTAAATTTATATATAAATTTACATACCGTAAAAATTCAAGAAAAGAGTTGCACCTGGGGTTCCAAAAAATCAAAGACGGCTCTGTTTTTAATAGATATGATAATCTGTATCTTCTTGTATCTTAGGATATAAAAAAGCCGTCACACCTTAATTCAGTTAGTCATGTATTTATCTAATCACTGAGATATTATAATAGGATATTTTTACGTATACGAAATATTTGTTCTCTTCGAGTACAGATAGAATAAGTGACAGGCAATGAAGGGTAAGTATTAACTATTTTATATAGTAAAAATATTCTAATAAAATCATAAAAAGATTTTTAATCATTTCGCTATAACAGAGCTGTTAGAGTAATAAAAACAAAAAAAGAACAAAAAAATAAATTATGTGCTATAGACAAAACACACTTATATACTATTTAAAATCATTAATACATCGTTAAATACAAACATTCCATTTCAATAATTAACTGCTATACAATGTATATTGCGCGACTGTAAATATAGAAAATAGTAGTATATAAACAGCGTTTCGTGGCGAGTAACGCCCATATAGTCGCCCATAGCAGTACAAAGGTTAAATAATGAAGAGGATTAAATAATTTTGAATTTATATCTAGATAATTAAAATTTAAAAATTTTTATCAATTGCAATAATAATTGACTAAATACCAATTTTGATATTTTTTGGTACAGAAATTTACCTAATCGCCATCGCCTTCCTGGCATCTTCGACGGTGAGCACCGCGAGTAAATTACCGATTTTCTTTGAGGATGAATGTCCAGCGGTTGATATTTGTCCGCCGAAATTAATATCTCATGAATCGGATTGCTCTCGATACTATGAATGCATCGGAGGTGTAAAGCAAATACGCAATTGCGCGCCCGGTCTGTACTTCAGTAAAAGTTGGCGTGGTTGCGTCAGGCGGGAGATTTCAGATTGTGTAAATCTAGATTGTGTAAATGGGGAACAGTTGCCACACGAATGCATGTGTACTGCTTATTATAAGTGCATAAATGGTCACAAAGCCCGACGTGACTGTCCACCCGGCCAAGTTTTTGATAAGTCCACGCGAAACTGCAAAGTAGGTAGTTGTGGGGCTACAACAATGCAAAAGCCGGAAACGTTGCTGCTTTGCAAGGAAGGTGCATTTATGCCACACGAATGCCAGTGCGATAAATACTACGAGTGCAAAAATGGACAGATTGCTTTGCGTGAATGCGGAAAGGGACGACATTTCGACAAGAGAACGTTAATTTGCGTTAATGGCGAAGGTTGCGGAAATATGGTATGTACGAATGGCGATACTAAGAAACACGAATGTCATTGTCACGAATTTTATCAATGCAATAATGAAGTTTGATTTATTCAAAAATGTCCAGATAAACATAAAGCAAATCTAAAAAGAGATGTATGGATAAATGTTGGTTGCGAGAAATCAGAACCTGGCGATTACTCCAAGGATAGTCCTCCAAAATGGCGTCATAAATGCGACTGCAGATTATGGTACCGATGCAAAGATGGCAAGAAGAAAATATACGAATGCAATTGGAGAGATCTCTTTGGGCTAAGGGGCAATGCGCTGCCGCGGCAAACGTGGACTGTACAAACTGAGACAACTGAGCAAAGGTGACCATCGATTTTGGAGAATATGTAAAAAAATTGAATAAATTATATGCTAAAATTAAATTATAGTATTTGTAGGAGTAGATAATTTGGTTATGGTATTTTAATAAATTTAATAATCTCAGATTATTGAAATTTTTGTATTAATTCGATCCTCTACTAGTATATGCCACATTATATGACTAATTATTTCTAATTTAGATAAAAGATTTAAAAGACCAAAGAACGATCTCTTTTTTTTCTTTTTCTGTCCCTTCTTTTGATCTCTTTTTTTCTTCATTTTTTCTCTTTCTCTCTATATATCCATATATTTATCTATATACTTATCTCTACATAGCTATTTATCTCTATTATCTCTATTATAACTACTTATCTCTATTTATCTCTTACTTTATAATTTGTAACAAAGAAGATGCTAATCAGTTTTTGCTTAATAATCTATATCGCGATTATATTAATCGCGATTTATTAATTAATTATTTTATCGGAATTATATTATCACGGAAGATTATCACATGTGTTTTAAAAAATGGGTCAAAAAAATATCAATAAAAATTTTTTTTTTCCTAATTTCGTTCATGATTATTATTGAATCCATTTATTCTTATGTGCTAGAGACGAGAGGTGTCATAATTTTTGACAATGACATGCTTTTTTTTCTGTAATTTTTGACAATTATCACTTCATACACACACATACACACACGCGCGCGCGCACACACACACACACACACATACGCGCGCGCGCGTGCGTGCATACACATCAATACGTACAATGAATTTTTACTATCAATCCTGTTTCTTATAAATGATTTATTTTTCTCTTTTCATCGATTGACTTTTGTTTTCTCAATATACATAAACATAAATAAATGTACTATTATCCGTATAAGCAATTATCTATATTACATATTAAATAAAAAAATTATTAATGAGAAGTTATAACCAGAATATCTAAAATCGATGCATAAGATAACTTCAAGATATCTTTCAGAGTTCTTTACTATAGTACTTACTATAGTATATTATATATGTAATAATGTTTAAAAAGTTATGAATTTTCAGGAAATAAGTCACTTGAAATATATTTATTGAAATATATTGAAGTATATTTCAGTAGAGAATCATTATTTGATATGCTTATAAGTCGTCTCTTTGATTAATAAGCATTATCGTATTAGTTATAAGAGCAATGTTTAATATCACTGTTTAATTCACTATCAAAGAAATGCGAAGAAATTCGAAGCAGCGTGTTTTGCTATATCTCATACGAACGCCGATGAATGAATGGTAACACGTGGAACCGCGCTATTCGCGCTCGTAAACACGACATACCAGCCGCGGTCGTAAACACAAGCTCAAGGCTACAACATAGTCCAGCTACAACGAAATACTCAACAATTATAAACAAAATTTATTTTTCACCTTTCGATAACAGAACTTTAAATAAATAATTGTTATATTTTAAATAACTTTTAAATAGTCTGTATCATACATTTGCTATTTCATTTAGGATGCGTGCGTTCGTTTTGGGCGCTCATGCACTATATTCTATCTTTGACGTGTAATAAATAATAAAGATAAAATAATGCTTATAGCGTCAAAAACAAACGCACTCTTAATAGTTACAATTTATTAGTGATACATGTATAAATATATCTTATATATTTTATCTGTTATAATAAACGATTGATACAATAAGCTAACTATACGTATTATAAAATATAAATTACATTTAAATCGGTGATAATTTCAAAAAGCTTTATTCCAAGAGAATTTGTGCTCAACATTAAAGATATCCGAATTAGATCATTAAAGAAGCGCAGTCCTTCCATCATGTTAAAGCAATATCCGTATTGTTTATAAAAATAAATCATTATGCTTCAAAAGATAAGCGTTGTTATTAATGAATACGAGTCAGTTTCATCGCCCGGAATATTTAAATAAAACAAATCATTTGATAAATATAAATCCGACAAACACATAACTGCGCGAACTATCATAGTATTATAATATGCATCGATACATCGATGTAAGATACATCGTAAGATACATCGATGTTCAGAATGTCTAGAACTCATCGCGACTCGTTTCGAAAAGAAAATGTGAAGATACGCGGAGCGATACGTAACACTACCTGCTCGCACGAAGGTCGATGGTCGAATGATAGCTGAGTGATAACACACTGCGCGCGCGTACACAATATCCGTCGGTTATAAACAAAGTATCGAAGCAGCGCGTTATTGTATCTCAAACATGAAGGTTTCACCTTCACCAGGTCTATAACAAAATTAAATATAAGAGATATATATCTTTCGTTAGATTTTGCATACAATGGAGGAAATATTAGGAACAGGAATAAATATTAAATTTTGGAAATGAAAATTCGAAATAGCATTAATTAATATTAGTAATTGTATGAGATTTTAGTGACGAGGTTATGCAGTATGTGATGTAAATATTTTAAAAATATATAATATTAAAAAAAATAAATGGCGCGCGTGAAGAGCGTGCTTTGTACTGTTCTAGTAAACAAAAAAAGGAGGATTGATTCCATTCAAAAAGAGTACCGGCGATATGCCGGAGGTAAGAAAGAGAACTGAATGCACGACTGTGTGGTGGGCGTTTAGGACCGGTTGAGTGTATACATACATGTATGTACACGTGTGTGGCTTTTCTCTGTGCGCTATGAACCGGGAGCTCGTTAATGCGCGTGCACGCCGGAACATAATGTGCCATCGGGCAACGCTAATAGTTGTTTCGTACCGACGACAACCTTGTGAAATAGGCCCCTTGTCCTGGCCCATGTATCGTACGCCGGTACTTGTACGATTCAGTCGCCCACGCAAATCGTGGATGATTCATGCAACGCCTCCTTCGACGAGCCGACGCCGACTCTTAAAGGACTGTAAATTTGTCTTCTTTACTTTCTTTATCCGAACCGTTCTGTGCACATAATGCGATCCCTCCTTTCGTGATACTCGATGAAAATTGATGACTACACGTTAAAGTTTGAACCTAATTCCCCCGACGATGTCTACAAAGCAATTTGCACAATCTGGCTTATATATAATGAGTCGTTACAATTTATAATAAAAATATAATAAATGTAATTTTGTATTAAATCTTTTTTACTGAATAAGTACGTTTAAAAATAACAATATAGTCTTCTTTAAAAGTGTGCACAAATAAATATTAAAACTTTATTCTTTAATAATTTTTAGCAAAATTAATAATTTTCATTACCGACATAATTGATTTTAAAAAAATTATTTGTAAAAACGGTAACGACAAATCTAACTTAATGATAGAATAGAAAAGAAATTTATTCTAGCGCAGCAAATTATTTATATTTTAAATATTTTTAAAAACGTATTCTAATAATTTCAAATAAAAATAGAGAAATACTATTTTCGTTACTAAAAATTCAGTCAGACAGATACTTTACGACAGATAAACGTCCGCCAATTTGTGCCTGTTCGACTGTAACTCTCGTTGTAACAAGCGGCATTATTACGTCGTAATGTCAGAATAATGGCATCTCTTACTAGAACAATGATGTTGGCGACACAGCGAAGTACTGCCGCCCCAAACACTTTTACTCGTGGGCAAACATGATCTTTCTTTTTCCCCTCTCGTAAAGAAAGACACTGTCTGGTGCAGCAGACGCATCATTGTGTATCGCGGTCTTCACCACCTACATAAAATTTTAGAGAGATATGGCGATGAGGCATAGCGTCTCTCTTTTTGCATCCACAGATTTTATTTCAGCATATAAAGCATGCATTAAATCTTAACGTAAGGTATTTTATTTAAAAAAATATACTTTTTAAATGTTGCTGATTCAAAATGAGAATTGTAATATTTTATATATAGTAAAGTTTTATTTCCATAAATTTGTTTTTAATGTTCGAGTAAATTACATTTTCTTAGGTTAATATTAAGATTTTAATTAACAGATACTTCAATTGATATTGAAAAAAATGTCTGTGTCAAAATTAATAAATAATAACTATATATTAACTATAAGTATAATAACTATAAGTTCGATTGATTTTGTGCGTTTATCGTTCCGCTCAAGAAATTTGAAAGAACAATTTTGGTGATGTCATCGACCCTTGGAAAAGAGTGTCCAGGTGTATGCCATGGCTTGTTTTCCGGAATCTCAACACGCATGAAAACGCAATTGGACGGGTACCCATGGAACGCTTGGAAGGCGAATCTCTTAGCTTTCCCAGCTAAACGGTAAACGTTCCCCTTTGCATCTTATGCGGTCAAGAGGGTGACGTGTTCACGTAACGAGAGTGAGGGAGCTACGCAAAAAGGGGGAAGAGAAAGGCGGCGTATAGGAAGGGAATGCAGCCCTACAGTGCTTCCGAAATATGCACCGGCGAAACGCATACCAACACATGAGTACTTGCATATGTTGAGAAAACGTGGGGAGTAGCGGTGAATATCCCACGTGGGAGTGAATGCTTGAAAAATTCCTTCACAATACTCGTTCCCCCACAAGCTCGATTCAAAGAAATGTCATCGTTCTTCAAGTAACATGCATTACTCCATCGATAGTGAGATCGGATTCTCACAGTCAAAAGAATCGCGAATTATAACTGGGATACAAAATATTACTCTAATATTTCAATTACTTTAATTTTGAGTATATTAGAATTATTTATTTTAACTGAAATTTATAAAACTGGATGTACTTTCTTATTATTTGCAATTTTATTAAAAAAGATAATCATACATTAATTAATAAATTCTTTTCGTTTCTTTTTCATTAAATTTTAATCTGGGTTTGATTAATTTTTACAACATAATTTCTACAATTTTTAAAATTCCTTAAGCGCATATTTAGAAAGTAAAAATTAAAGATTGAATTTCTGGGAAACAGATATTTAATATCGATTGTTAAAATTTCTTTAGACCTAATATATATATATATATATATATATATATATATATACATATAGTTCCGACTTTAATACAAGCGTCTTCTACAAGCCATCTTTCATTGATTTTACAGTTCATTGATTTTATAGCGAACGTTGAGTCACCTGCCGGAATTTTAGCGGGAAAATTTTGACAATGCCAAACTTGCAACCCCACACCTTAATGCATTAAACCCACAACG